CCCACTCCTTCCAATAAATACTAAGAAATGCTATTGACAAGTACTTTGCCTTTGCCACAAAAGTGTGGAACTTACCCAATATCTTTCTCCCAAGTTGTTAAATGATTTTTAAATAAATAGTTTACAGTTTTAACAAGAGTATAAAATTAAATCTACAAGCACCGGTTACGCCAAAAAGTTAAAGACTCGCAAAGACCATGTTTTAGCTGCTTTAAATCGCTGCGGTGTACGCAGCCCATGGCCAAAGATTTAGCTAGGTACACCGCCACTGTGTACGCAGGCCAAAGTCCATGGCTTTGCTAGGTACAGTAGTTTTAGTCACTCATTAATTTAATGTCTTTTATTGACTAACTTTATTAATTATGTCTAGTCAAGTCACCATAATTAAAAAAACTATACTATTTTTATTAAGTTACTAACTTCCCAGCCATTTCATATTATTACTTAATTTTAGGCCTAGGCCTATTAATTAATTCGATCTTATTCATTCTTGCTAGGCCTAATATATTAATATAACTCTGATTAAACTCTAATTCAGCCAAAAGCTTAATTGAGAATTAATTAGACTTACTAATGTGACACTACGGGTAAAAGTGGAGTTCAGGTGCGTACATTATTTCTGCTCGAATTCCTTATTTTCACGTGTAAACTTATGTTAATTCTTTATAAAATGTATTTTAAAAGTAAAATACCATCTTTTTATTGAATACAACAACAATTAAACAAATTTTACGAGATAAAAAAAGTTCATTTTCATGAATCTTTTGCCTTTTACGGAGCCATTGTGGTAAATCAAGGATAACTCTTCTGTCTTATAAAAGTTGCCCAATTGGATGTGCCTTGGTTAAAATACATTTATTTGATAGTAAAGTTATAAAATAAATACTATAACCGGAGTTGCCCAGGATTGGATTCAGAAAAAAACATCTGTTACTTCCTTTTAATTCACATTGCTATTTAAGCGAAATGTTGACAAAAAAACACCACTATAGTAAAAAAATAATAATAATTTGTCTCCTATAAAAACACTTAAAATAACTTATGTTGGATATGTAAACCTTTCATTTTTCCCGTTTTCCGATGGAACCCCGTATTCCGGAAAGATCATGATGGGATCCCAATTCCGGTAGAATTCTGGTCATGGTGGGATCCCGGTGCCGGTAGAATCCCGGTCATGGTGGGATCCCGATCTCGGTGAGATCACGTTTCTGGTGGTATCCCAATCCAAATGAGATCCCATTTCTGTGGGATCCCATTTCTGACGAGATCCCGATTCCTGTGGGATTCCGTTTCCGGTGAGATCCTGATCTCGGTAGTTGAAGGGAACTCTCATAATTGACATACATAGCCAGTTTACAAGCCACATTGGAATTGTTATGAGCGCCTTACGAGTAATTCCATAGTTGTATTAACGTTATTTGTTGCCCCACAAAGTTCGCGTGTAAACTGAATGCTGCACCATTTAAAATTTCCGTTGGATGAAAAATTCCAATTATCGTTTCTTGGTCGTCCTGCCATTTTGTTCAAAATGATCCCACTACCAGCAATGCAGCAAAACGAGTCCGTCATATTATATATAATCACTAGCCCAAACCCTCATTTTACTCAGCGCAAATCAGTCACCATTAATAAGAGCATTTGCATACGAAAAAAGGAGAGGGGAGCTCAAATTAGAGCTGACCAATCACGGACAACGTATTTGCAGCTATCAGTATGAGATGACTATCAATAAAAGATCCGATTTCCCCCATTCCTGCAATGTCACAAATATTTTTTTAAAAAGTGGACACTTGATCACACATTGGCACATATTCGTGGACCCCCCCCCCTCACCTTTTTTTTCCGCTTCACTCCAGGACAATGATGGCGTGCGTGCCCCCCCCCCCCCTACTTCAAGGGACAACCTGTATATTCCAAGCGCTCTGAGAGCAAAAAAAGGGGTGGGGAAGGGGGGCGCTCGTGCGTAATGAAAAATCTAGTATTTCATTCTTTTTTTGTGAACATGCCTACAGTTTGAAAATTTCGTTTGTCATACTAACCTATAGGTGGTTAAAAATCTGGCCATAGGGTGAAAAAAAAAACAAGACAAATGGGGCTATGTAACTTCGAAGTGTCTACACGTCCGTCGTGCCGGACAAATAGTGCGCAAGATATACGTCCGGCGGAATGTCACGTGACCGCCGGACGGCTAGTAGTTTTTATTATTCCGAACGACGTGCAGTTGGGTAGATTTTGTGTGGTCTAGTGGTAAAGTGGTTGCTTAACGTTATTATGATTTGAGGATCAATTCCGGGGAAAGGATCGTTTTTTTTTCCCATTTTAATTAAAAATACTTTATACTATATTTTTATTATCATGTTCATCAGCAACAGTAGTTTCATGAGAGGTTTTTAAATATTTTGTAGCAATTTAAACAATTTAAAATGAAATCTTTTACTTTTATTGGTTGCCTACTCCACACTAGCCTCTAATTTATTTTATGGATTACTGGTACACAAACTCAAATAACAAACTAAACAAGAATGTTTACAAGCCACTTTCACTTAAGTTTTTTTCTATTATTTGCATTCAAGATACTAAGTACATTACTTGGTAGAGAAATAGATTTTAAAATTAACAATAGTTTCGAATCATTCGCAGTCAGGTGACAAGGCTGATCGACAAGATATCTCTCGCCACTTTGTAACGGCGGTCATTTGACTTGGTCGCCGGACAAATAGTGCGGGAGATATACGTCCGGCGGTGTAGACACTGCCATGTAACTTTGGTTTGGGGAGGTTTAAAGATGATTTAGAAATCAAATAAAAAGAAAAAAAGGCGATTTAAAATTCAGTATTAGTTAACTATAACTATAACTGCCTGTATTTAATTAATTAATAAAGAATACACGTACGTTTGCATGATAAAGTACGAAATGCTTTAAGAAATAATATACGCACCTGAACTCCACTTTTACCGACACTACGATATGATGACTATACGGTAAAAGTGCAGTTCAGGTGCGTATATTATTTCTGTTTGAATCTCTTATTTTCCCGTGTAAACTTATGTTAATTCTTTATAAAAAGTATTTAAAAGTTATATACCATCTTTTTATTATAATACAACAACAATTTAACCAATTTTACGAGATAAAAAAAGTACATTTTTATGAATCTTTCGTGTTTTACGGAGCCATTGTGGTAAATCAAGGATAACTCTTCTGTCTTTAAAGATACTTTATAAAAGTTGCCCAATTGGATGAATCTTGTTAAAATAAAAGATGTATTTATTTTATAACTTTACTATCAACGATAACCGGAGTCGCCCGGGGCTGCATTCAGACAAAAACATCTGCTACGTCCTTTTAGTTCACATTGCTATTAAAGGAAATGTCAACAACAAAACAACAACACTATATTAAAAATAATAATAATTAATTTGACTCCTATTAAAAACAATTAAAATAACTTATGTAAACCTTTCGTTTTTCCTGTTTTCCGATGGCACCCGGAAGGATCATGATGGGATCCCGAACCCGATGTGATTCCGATAGAATCCTGGTCATGGTGGGATCCCGATCCCGGTAAGATACTGATCCCGGTGAGATCCGTTTCCGGTGGTATCCCAAACTAAATAAGATCCCAATCCGGTGGGATCCCGTTTCGGTGAGATTCCGATCCCGATAGGATTTTGATCCTAGTGAGATCCTGATCCCGGTGGCATCCCGATCTAGTGGGTTACCGATCCTGGTGGGATACCGGTTACGGCGAGATCCCGTTTCGGGTGAGATCCCGTTTCGGGTGATATGCAGATCCCGGTAATTATGGGGAGCTCACATACGAACCCAGCTTACAAGCCACATTGCAATTGTTACGAGCGCCTTAGGAGAAATTCCAGTTGTATTAACGTTATTTGTTGCCCCACAAGGTGCGCGTATAAACCAAATGCTGCACCATTAAAAATGCCTGTTGCATCAACAATTTTAGTTATTGTTTCTTGGTCGTCCTGCAATTTTAAACAAAATGATCCTACAACCAGCAATACCGCAAAGCCAAAACGAGTCCGTCTTATAATATAAAAAAAATAATCACTAGCCCTCACTTTACTCAGCGCAAATCAGTCACCAGTAATAAGCGCATTTGCATACGAAAAAAGAGGAGGGGTGCTCAAATTAGAGCTGACCAATCACGGACAGCGTATTAGCAGCCTTCAGGGT